GCAAGCTGACCTTAACCGCATATATAGCGGCAGTGGTGTTCTACCCCTGCAAGAAGTGGCGCGCTCTAGAACGGCTTTAGAGCCAACTCCCGTCTCGTCAGACGTCGGAGTGGGAAAGAACATATGCGAGAAGCTTAGCGATAGTCTAGAAAGAGAGGTATAAGAATATAGCTTATCGGCAATCCTACGATAGTGGTTTAGCGGATACGACTAATAGTGGCTTAGACTATATTAAGCGCCGATTGGCGTTCAGTCGATCATTGGCTTGCCCTGAGCCTTAAGGGCAGCAAATTAAAGGACCAAAGCAGTCAACCGCCTTACAAGAACAGGACGAGCTTGATCAGTACCTATCAGAGCCGCCGGTGGAAAATATCGCATATAAAACGGACCCAATCGCTTAGTGGAAGGACGTTGGTGTTGCGCGGTTTCCTCGGCTGTCTTATATGGCTGTTGACTACCTTACCATCGCGTCGTCTTTAGCAGGAACGGAAAGAGATTTTAGCAGCTGCGGGAGGATGATAACACCACTGAGATCTCGCCTACGACGCCATATTGTGGCGATGGCGCAGTGTCTTCGTTCCTAGAGTAAAGCTGGCATCTATTAGCCGACACTTCCTCTTGGTCTGCTTAAAGGGGACAATTAGAGGCAAGTTCTTTAACTAATGGGTAAGATTACCCTAGATAGGGATAATTTTTAGTATTGATCGATTCGATCGTCGATCGATTTAAATTAAATAGCGATCGATCGATATCGATCGATTAAAGGTGACGATCGATAAAATTCGATCGATCAGGCTCGAAAATCGATCTATACGATCGATTTCTAACTCTGAAGATCAGGAAGTGGAAGAACTCTTGATTTAGCTATCTAGAAGGAAAAAGAGCAACATCTTTATAGGTGATATAAAGGAGTGGCTGGGAGATACTAGAAGCATCTGATCATATAGTGTAGGTGCCTATAACGTGTGCATAATGTTGATGGTTGGTGTGGGTGTTTGGCATAGTGCAGTGATCGGAATGGTCCGGTATGAGTTGGTATTGGTATGGTAAATACCGCTAAGACCTGGTATGGTTTGACAAAAACTTGATACCATAGTATTACCGGTATACCGGATCATACCAGTAACGCTAAAAATAGGCTCAGGTGAGAGGCACTGCGGAGAATGACCAGGCAGAATCCGAGCGGCGATGATTCTAGTGTCATCTGTAGGGCTTATTGACCAGTTTTCTGCCAGTTTATCTACTCCATCTAATCATAAATACCATCATCCTTACAATATTGACCTGGCTACCTTAGTTAGGTCGATCCGGCACCGAACGGGTGCTTTTCGTCTTTGCTGCCGGGTAGCTATCCCAGGGAAGGCACGAAGGTAAGGCTAGTGTTAGTGCGTGTTAGAAAGTACTTCTCATTGCACCTAGTTTTATGAGTTCTTTTATATAGGACGGAGCATGACCTAACGTATCACTGGCCAGACTTATTAATCGCGTCGTCGGAGGGACAGGAAAAGCTTAAATGATCCTTTTAGGGACAGGAAAGCTTAAATGATCCTTTTAATCGAATTACTTCTATGATATTAGAGCCCGAAATTTTTTACGTTAGGCTAGTTAGACGATAGACTAAGATCGAATAATCGAAAGCCACTATACCTTAATTGGTGTATATTATGATCATAGAATCTCCAGCGCTAACCTCGCTATCTTCGTTTACGATAAATTCAGCATCAATCCGCTCTAGATCTCCTACATCGTGTCCCGCGCCACACTTTTCCGCTACGACGCCATCGTCTAATTCTATCCGTTATCCTGAGCCTCCGGACGAATTCGTACAAGACTATGTCACGTACCTGCGTCGCGCGAAGACGACGAAGAAGGCAGCTCGTCTCGGCTCGTCGCATATATGGAAGTACGGTCTTTATTATATCCGAGACAGTGATAAGAAAGAGGTATACTACTATCACGAATATGCGATCGGAAAGTATAAGCAAGAGTTATTTGTGATCAATGGCACGTCGGGAGTGAGAAATTATCTCGAATAGAGGCACTAGATTGATCTATAAAGCGGCGTGAGGAAACGCGGTGCGACACGGGCGTCTATATTAGAGCAACAGAAAAGCGCAGCTGCTAGTAGCAATTTTTTCTAGAAAGATACCGTTAAGAGGTTTAAAGAGCTTTTAATTCGTCGGGTTATATACTGCTATATTGCTTTCTTCTAGTTAGAGAACTAGTACTTCCGAGAGCTACTTTTCTTTCTAAACCCTGCTCTACTTGATTACCTCCTAAAGGCTGCGAAAACAATTCGAGGTTAGGTTATAGATGCGTTCCTGTCGAAGAAGCAATAGCTAAAAGAGGACCTCTAGCGGTCGCGGAGTAAAATCTCTATTTCCTTCGACCTCTGGACCTCGCCAAACCCGTACGCAATCCTGGGTGTCGTCGCTATATGGATTAACGCTACCGGCAAGCGACGAAGTACCGTCCTGGGCATGCGACGCGTTTATAGCGAGCATAGTGGCGAGAATCTTGGGTCGACCGTTCTCGAATTACTAAAGGAATATGACATTGGCGGAGATTAGATTAGATACTTTATGCTAGATAATGCTTTATCTAATAATACCGCTGTTGAGTTTATACTTAAGGAGCTCTGCCTATGGATAAAGTCGCAATAGCGTCGCCATCGCCGACTGCGCTGCTTGGGTTATATTGTTAACCTCTGCTGCCAGGCGTTTCTTATAGGTCGAAATTATGAGAAGCATTTAGCGAAGCTTAAAAAGCACCACTAGCGCGGAGATTACGTGAAGGTAGAGGAGCTGTGGAAGAAGTTTGGATATTTAGGCCGGCTCTATAACCTTATGCGGTATATCCGGCTTACTCCTTAAAGGCGGGAGGAGTTTATAGCAATTATTATCGGCGGCCATCTCTCCGAATTCGATAGGCTCGAGCTTATCTAGAATAACTCTATACGCTAGAATTCGTGGTTTTATTCGATTATATAAGCGTTAAATATTCGAGAACGTTTAGAAATCTTCTTAGCTCGTTATATACTAGGGAAAGGGTCTTAAGGGATTTCGAACTTTAAACTAGATAGATAGCACTAGTTCGAGCTTAAAAAGATCGAGCTCGCACTAAAAGACTGTGAAAGGCCTCTAGTGAGTTGATACAACTAACTAGTCCCTATGCTGTTTACTATCAAGATAGAGAAGAAAGAAAGAAAGAAAGAGAATCTACTACATGAGAGCACAATAGCATTTTATAGCTTCGAGCCAATGGAAGGTTCTAGAAGCTAGGCGGCGCAGCCGCCGTTAAAGCGGCTTGCCCGTTACATTACCTCCTCCCTTCCAACGTTTCCTCTTCCGGGGGGTCGTGGCAATCTGTGGCAAGATGACTTGAGAAGGTGACACTCCTTTTATGCTTCTTCCATTGCTTCCATGCATCGGTGTGTCGAATAGTAGTAAGGGGTTCCCACGTAGGCTGCGAGTAATCATGCCATTTTACGAGCACCTTCTTATGCGTACCTTCCATTCTTTCATCCAGAATTCTTTCAACAAGGTACATCTTTTCGCCGTCCACCAGCACCGGTGGGGCACTCTCTTGATCGAGTTTCTGCGAAGGCAATGGGTCTCCGGGGACTGGCCGGAGTAGGTCGACGTGAAAGACTGGATGGATGCGCCCAGGCACATCCAACCTGTAGGCATGTGGGCTAACTTCCGCGAGCACTTGATATTTGGCATGTAGCCAATCGAGCTTCTTGCAGGGTCGCGATGTTTTGACATTTCTCGTTGAGGTATACCCAATCCCCAGGCTCGTATCTCGGTGCGGCTGTCCTGTGCTTGTTGGCTTGCGCTTGCTGTATTTCCTGGGCCATAGCTATCGCTGCTTGCGCAAACTCCGTGGCGTCCTGTAGTCTCTGAATAAAATCCTCCGCTGTCGCTTCCCCCTGCGTCGTGTCTTCCGTTCTTCGATGCTCAACTAATTGGATTGGCTCGTTGTGGTAGCCGTGCATGAAGAAGAACGGACTCAGTCCGGTGGAGGTTGCTTCCTCTCGTTAATAGTCGCCATCGCGATTGGAAGCAAGTCTAACCAGTTCTCCTGCAGATAATTCGTCCATATCCGAAGAATCCTCTCTACCTCTTGGTTCATTCGTTCTGTTGCACCGTCGGTTTGTGGATGGTACGCCGTCGACAACCGCTGCTCGATCCCTAGCATCTGACAGAAACTTTTCCACATACCACTGACAAACTGGGGACCCTGATCACTGGTTATAGCCGTTGGGATGCCATGGACAGGGTAGTGTCGTTCGAAGAGTCTTCTTGCAACCGCTTCTGTGGAAATATCGTTCAATCCTTCGAGTTCGACGCCTTTGGTGAGTCGGTCCGTGACCACCATGCAGTTCGTCGCGCCATCTTTCCCCGACGGTGGGAGGTCAGTAATAAAGTCAATGGTAATTTCGCTCCATATGCGTTGCGGAATAGGGAGCGGCTTTAGGAGTCCTTTCTTTGTATCCTCCAGATGGTGTTTCGTCCGCAAACCTCGCAGTTGCGCACAAACCGACGTACATCGCTAGCGGCACCCGGCCAGAAGAAGCGTCTCGACAGAGTCGAGTACGTGAGGTCCCTTCCAGGATGTCCGGTGATATGAGAGTCGTGAGTTTCCTGGATGATCTTTGTACGTAGCGGCTCCGAACCGGGTATCCAGACGCGTTCTCTAAAGCACAGCAGGCCTCTATTGTCTAATGAGCATTCTGAAATGCTGACAACCTTCTCCTTCTGTAAGTCTGTTGGCACACTCTTCGCTCCATCTGCTACCAGCTTCGTGAGTTCTTGATAAAGCTTGTCTTCTTGCCGTGCGGCGTGCCACAGCTGCTGTAACTCCTCATCTTCAAATATCCTGATCTCTTTCCGAAGTTGATTTCCTGGGCACCCTCGGTGTTGGTAGACAATGTCGATATTGGGACCCTTCTAAGGTGATCATTTTGGAATAGCCTCATAATGCGTCCCTTTAGTCGTTCATCGGAGTAGTTGGCCGGCATATCCTGGTCCCGTCGAGAGTGCGTCAGGCAATCCGCCCTTGCGGCCCGGCCTCCATTCGAGCTCGAATTGGAACCTGGACAGGAACTCCGACCACCGCACTTGTCTCTCTGTCAACCTCCTTTCCGAGTAGAAGTACCTCAGGTTCTTGTGGTCCGTTAGGATCTTGAAGTGCTCTACTGCCCGTAGCTCTGGTTCCCACTGCTCCAAACATCTGAGAATGGCGAGTAGCTCCTTGTCATGGATAGCGTAGTTCGCTTCGGCTGCCGAATGTTTCTTCGAGAAGTATGCGACAGGTCGTACCAGTCCATCCTTATCATCTCTCTGCAAGAGCACGCCTCCCGACGCGAATCCTGAAGCGTCTGCTTCCACGATAGTCTCCTTTCTGGATGGAAGTGTGCAAGGATCGGGGCCGTGATCAACAAGTCCTTGAGCTTCTCGAAGGCTTCTTCGCACAATTCATCCCAACGGAATGGCGTCCTTCTTCGTTAGCCGCGTTAGCGGCTCCGCTATCACCGAGAACTCTGGCATAAACATCCTGTAGAAGTTCGCGAATCCAATAAAACTCCTCACGGACTTAACATTCGTCGGGGTTGCCCATTCCTTCACAGCCTCAACCTTCTCAGGGTCGACTCGGATCCCACACTCCGCCTCGATGATAAACCCAAGGTATTTCACAGCCTTGACTTCGAATTCACTCTTGTTGATATCCAGTTGCAGCCCGGCGTCCATCAGTCGTTGGAGGACCTTGCCGACCTTGTCGCGGTGGTCTTGCAGGCTTCCAGAGGAGAAGATCAGGACATCGTCGATATATGCTGACACAAAATCGTCTAGGTAATCCTGGAGCGCGCTGTTAATGTACCGCTGAAAGGCTGCTGGTGCGCCTGTCAGGCCGAATGGAACTACCAGCCATTCGAAGGATCCATAGCGCGTTCTGAAAGTTGTCTTTCCTCGTCGCCGGGGCGACCCTGATCTTATGGAACGCTGCTATAACATCTACCTTGGTGAACCACCTTGCCTTGGCTATCGTTCGCAAGGTCTCGCTCAGTAAGGGCAAGGGATAGCGGTCCCTCTTCGTTATATGGTTCAAACCTCTGTAATCCACGCAGAAGCGGATGCCTCCGCCGGGCTTCTTCACCATAAGGACTGGTGCCGCGGCTGGCGAGCTGCTGACTCTAATAAATCCCTTGTCGAGTAGTTCTGTGAGAGTCTTCCGTAGTACCAATAGCTCCTCGCGGGACATGCTGTAAAGCGGTCCCCAGGGTAGGGGCTTCTCTCGGCCATGCTCGTCTTTCAGCACTTCGATCTTCAGGTCCACACCTGGCCGATGAGGGGGCAGCTGGTCGGCCAGTTGCTGAGAGAAAGCTCGAGACCACTTGTGGTACTGTGGTGGCAGCTTCTCCATTACGTCAGTCTTCGGTTTCGGTCTTAGGGCCTTGTCAATATCCGCCATCGTGACCGAGTGAACTCCAATGCCGCCTTTGCGTTTGTCACGGCGTGCTTCTGCTAAAAAGGTTGCGGCCATGACATTAGAGACATCTAGCTGTGGAGGCTGGTAACGTCGTCGGTCTCGTACTTGAACTCCATTGGACCCGATCTCGAGATATCCTTCCTTCGCATGGATGTGAACATCCTGGTCTTCCATCCATCGTTTACCCAGGATCATATCCCAGTTCAGATCGTCGATGACGTACATGAAAACACGATGCTGCTGATGTCCATCGAGGTCGATCGACACATACGTGATCTTGTCGATTTTGACCTCCTTGCCGTCTCCCGCTGCATTCTCCAAGATGCGCGGCTGGACGCGTATATGTGGCAACTGGAGAGAGTGAAATGTGCGCTTGCTAACCGCGCCGTAGCAGAGGCAGCCATAGTCGACAAGAGATGGCACGAAGTCTGTGCCGTTCACCCTGACGTCTGCTATGAACGGTTCTCCGTCCATTTTTGCTTTTCCGCTCACATCCCATTCTCTCACAGCCGCCGCGTGTCCCTAGTCTGAATCTTCATCGTTATGAGAAGAAGTATCGTCTTCGGCGACCTCGGCTTTAGTGACCGCTGGTCGTGACGGGGTCACGGCATTGACCTGAGTGCGTCGGGTCGTGTTTGCGGGTCGGATAGGCGCAGCCAATGGACAGCGCTCGATTCTGCAGTTGTCTCTTCCACAACGGAGGCAACGCCCTTCACGGTAACGGGCGTCCATCTCGGCCTGGTCGACCCACTTGGCACGCTTGCCCAACAGCGCTTGGTCTTCTGGTCGCTTGGATTGGTAACCATATGTGTTCTTATCACTGCGGGTGCGCGCAGCGTTCACTTTCGCGGATGCTTGTAGAGTTGGTTCCCATTCCATCATATCCTCTCGTCTAACTTCGGTTTTCTGGCCAGGCTGTTTCTGGGCAGCCTGGCCTCCATGATTCTGGTGGTTGTCATAGTTGTCCGAACTCTTTGTGTTGCCTCGAGGCCTTTTCCACTGACCCAACAATTCCATCTGGCTGCTCAGCGAATCGCACCTCCTCGCCAGCCCAACATAGCTGCTGATGGCAGAGGGGTCAGAGCCTATGAGGGCTGCTTTCATTTTATCGTTTAGTGCCTCCTGGAGGTAGGAAATCTTGCTGTCATCTGGCCAATACTCGGCGTTGGCATTGGCGATCTCCCTCTCAAAGCGGGGTAAAAGGACGTGAACGGTTCATTCTCTCCTTGCTTAATCGAATGCAGGTTGCGTGTAGCTCTCGCTTGCGATCCCTCTCCCGTACAGCAATTCGAGGCGGTTGAGTAGTTCAGCAACATTGAACGTTTTCTTCTCGGTTTGCATCTCCACAAATGTGGTCACGTTGTCTTTAGCCTTGCCTTCTAGGCTCATGAAGATGTACATAAAGTGGCCTTCTGCATCTCCAAGGGCTTCTTTGTCGACTCGTAGCTTTCCTTCGGTTTCTAGTTTCCAGCTTCGCCACTGGGCCTTGTCGCCGCCGAATTTCGGTATGTCTCGTAATTTGGGGCGCTTGGTTGTGAGGGTTGTGAGTGGCGACCACACGAGTGTCCTCAATGGGGACAGCCGGGGTGACAGATGGCGTTGGCTCTAGGAGTTCAGACGAACGGGCTTGCTGGTGTTGTTGGAGTTCCAGGGCAATAAAACGTTCTTCAAACTGGGTGTTTCTTCGGGAACTCTCTTCTCTCAGACTTCGTATCTCGGCAACCAGGGCGCTGAGGACGTCCGGCTGCATGTTGTTGTTATCTTCGGCCATCGCGACTTCGCTGAACGCTAATAGTTCGACGGGACTCAGTTTGGTGTCTTCAGTGTCTTCGGTGTCTTCGGTGTCTTCAGTGTCTTCGGTGTCTTCAGTGTCTTCAATGTCTTCAGTGATCTTGATAGTATGTGAAAGGCCTCTAGTGAGTTGATACAACTAACTAGTCCCTATGCTGTTTACTATCAAGATAGAGAAGAAAGAAAGAAAGAAAGAGAATCTACTACATGAGAGCACAATAGCATTTTATAGCTTCGAGCCAATGGAAGGTTCTAGAAGCTAGGCGGCGCAGCCGCCGTTAAAGCGGCTTGCCCGTTACAAAGACTTCTTCGCGGCAACTATGCTTGCTAAAGGAAACAAGATATCCCTCGCTAACTGGTTTTCGACTTTAGACTGTCTTCTTCGCGAGATCAACGAGACGAAGGATCACTACCATAACGTTTACGAGGAAGACGACAACGATAACTTTACGTAGAAGTATCTCTAAGGTTATGCAGATGCTACGTGGTTAAAGTGCGAGGAGTATTATAGCAACCGACAACGGAATTGGCAACCTCGATTTCCTAAAGATACTAATCTTCCGCCAGCGTATTACGCAGCTTAAGTACTTAATCCGTATCGAAAGTGGGCATAGTTTAGGCAAGAATAGGTTCTTTAGGGCGACGAAGGAAGACAGAAGTGGTATGAAAGCGCATAGCTGGCGGTGAAGCAGCTCTGGGAGACAGAGTATAAGGGAAGGTACCCTGTTGAGGCGCTACCACCTCTAGTTAGGAAGGACAAGGATCTAGACCCGGCATTCGATCGGCAGAGGGAATATAAGCGCATTCGCATAGACGGCCCGGCTGCTGCTACCGATCTATATGAGCAGTATATTTCGACCGACCGGCTGCATGACGAGGAGGCAGGTTGCGATGAGGCTATCGCCTATTGGCTATCCCGTTATAACTCGCAAAGAGACCTCGCCCGCTTCGCTCTAGATCTATTTGCAGTTTCCCCAATGTCAGATAAGTGCGAACGGCTGTTTAGTAGCGCAAAGCTTGGTATAGTTGATCGTCGAGGTAGGCTTAAGGCAGATATCATAGAGGCTTGTGAGTGTCTACGTGCCTGGTATGGGAAGCCTCGGGCTGAGGATAGCGAAGATAGCGGGGATAGCGAGAATGAAAGCGATCAAGTTGACAGCTAGTAGCCAATACATTTCCCTATTTTTGCAACCCGCCTCATTCTGAGCGGTCTTGGCGGTATTACTGGTATTACCGGTAAGCTATACCGGTAAGGATATCAGCAGGTGGTATGGTATGTGTCAGAGGGAGCAGACTGACGGTCTAATCCGCACACGTATAAACTCCGGTGAAAGAGGCAGGTCAGACACAAGGACTTGAGTCAGGTATCGATACAGTAGAGGAACATTGCCCTAATCGGGATACACGGGAATTGGCCCTGATTCAGGGCCTCCACGGGTCCCAGATAGGTATCTATTCGTATAAATACCCCCTCAATGTCGCACAGATAGAGAAAAAACATGCATCATCGTTTGGACTCAATTGTGCCTGCCCTTATCCTTCCGCCCGCGCTCTCAGCTTGCTGAGAGTATGGTATAGAATAATAGAGGTCATACCATACCATACCGGACCATTCCGATCACTGTTTGCAAGCAGGAACGAACGACCACGCAGGAATATTTGAGTACCTCAACCCACCGCCTGGATGCGCGTGGCATTTGGTTGAAATATTTCAACCAAATACCCACCCTACCTTACAGAGGTGTCAAGCTACGAACGCGACAAGTACACTGCACTTGTTGGAATGCATTCCATACTTCTTTTGCAGAATGTCTTGGCTGGGCGGAACATGGTAGTAATTCTCTACTTGGCGTCGTCTTTGCTGCCGCATTCTCGACCATGCAAGTGTATCTTGCACCCTCCCGCTTGGCGTTATTCCAGGCGTCAACGCGTCGGTGGTGAGGCTGAGCTCTGGCTCTGCCTCATCATGGTCGCGCGAGACACCGCCATTCAATGAGTCATCTACAAGAACAAAATACCTCAATTCGAAATCTCTCAGTTTCTCCTTCGTCGCAATCATATTTACTGTACTCAATCCATCTGTGATCGTCCGTGGATTGACAAATGGATTGACGTGGACGCTAAACAAGGACAATCGGGTAGTGGTGCAGTGGTACCTCATCACCTGCTAATCTTGTGATGTATTTCCGTTGTGTGGCTAACAAATCTTGTCATAAAGTACGCAGCGTGCCCTCTTCTGGTCACGACAGAGTCAGCACAACAAAGGCCGTCTTGTTAGAGTGGTCTCTAGAAGGTTCTATGATCATGTGGACTTTTGTCAGCTATGTCTATACAAGATTTAGCCTTCCACTCCTTTATGTAGCTAGAGTTAGTTAATGATCAATAGATCGTTCACTCTTTCCTAGTGCGCGTGTGCGGATAACACATGTACTTGCTACAATCGTACAACTTAATGGAACAAATACCTGATGACTCTCAGACGCCCCTCGGAGGCTTGTCTCGGCTGATCAACGTGCAAGACGACAGACTCAATACGAAGTACCCGATCATTGGTTCATGTCGAGGTTCCCACTAACAATCTGCCTGGTCTCGATCCCAGACTCCAAAGACGTCCGATTTTTTATTTGGACACTGTCAATTATGGTGATGAGGAAGGAACGCAGGGAAGATGATGCCCTTTCGTTGGTTTGAAACTGGTTTTTGCGCGAGCATTACCAACGATATTAATGACTATCTTCTTGTTGACACCATGTTGGAAGGACTAATGCATGCCATCGGCAGGGGGATTGTTGACCATTGAGGATACGAAATTGGCGCTGTGGCGATTGCTTCAAGGGTCGTCAACGATTCTCACATCGTGGACATCAATCCATTGATGTGCTTGTGGACTCAATCCACGAACAATGGATGAGTAAGCCGTAAAATCAAACTATTGTTTCTTTCGTGGACGTTGAATGGATTGATTCCATACTGTCGGCTAGTATAGGCACCGCTGTTAGTAGGTCACCTGAAGGATCAAGGGAGGGCCACCTGAAGGATCATTATGAGGCCATGTATCGGGGACCTATAAAGTCCTCACGTATGGGGTCAGTTTGGTGCCTATGTAAGTCACCTGAGGGTCCGCAGGGTGGTCATCGATACGATCGATACGATATCGATACCGACTAGTGATATCGATCGATATCGATGTATATAAACTATCTAATTTCCCGTATATATATAACTAAAAGAAGTAAGTCCTACCGTTATCGGTTTAAGCTAAACTCGTTTTTAGGTCCTATTTCTAAAATTATAATATATATAGTAGCTCTATCTAGGGAAAACGGACCGGATAAAGGTCGGATTAACTACTATCGATATCGTTCGATATCGATCCTTATATCGATACGATATCGATCAGCGGTTAAATCGATATCGATATCGACTGACCACCCTGGAGGGTCCCTCTGACTACGGCATAAATAGGGCCCTGTGGCCGATTCTTTCTAGCTAGATTATGCATCTTTATCCCGTCTTGTGCTGCCCCTACCTCATGAGTTCCAGAATAACAGTCCATCGATAAAGGCCTATCGGATGGCCACAACCCCTTGAAGGAACCCGTCAGAGATCAACAATTAAATCATTGGGCTCCGCTCTTCACTCTATGTTTCGTCGTAATTGTGCTCCTTGCATTCCACTAGCTA